GTGTCGGTGGAGTAGTTTTGAAAAGTTGCCCTGTGGTTTTTAAGTCCTCTGGAGAGCAGTGACGAGGGGGGGCGGGGGTGGACGTTTGAGTTTGAGTTTGATTAGTGCAGGTCCTGTCCTGTCCTGTCCTGTCCCTGGAGGAGCGTCGAGCCGGAGAGCTTCACTGCGCCTCCTCCGCGGCTCCGGGCCTTTAAAAAGACACGGCCGTCAACAGGGAGGAGCATGGGGGAGGCGACTGCGTCTCCTCCTCTCTGGGGGAGAAACTTCCATTCACCGGTTGGCCGCCAATTCTGAACACCACGCCTTGAAATCCAAGCCTAGCACCCCCTCCCCTCCCTCTCTCCCTCTCTCCCTCTCCTCCCCCACGTCACCCCGACTTCGAAAAAGTTTCTCTGAAACTTTTAATCACAACTAATTTGGTTGAAGTTGGTTTGACTTTGGGGTTTGTCAAACCCCCCCTCCACACACACACACACACACACACACACACACAGAGCTGTAGTTGGACAGGGCCGGACCCAAACCTGCCACCCTAAGACTTGAACAACCCCCCCCCCAAATAAAGTTCTGGGGTCACATGTATTTGTGATGGAAGGAAACTCCCCTCTCCCTCTGAGGGGGGGGTCCAGACAGACTGCAGAAGACATTTTTTAGAATCCTCTTGTTTCATAATCCACTTCCTCACTCTGACTAGAGGAGTATTGCAGTATTGCAGTATTCTAGTACTGCAGTATTCCAGTCCAGTACACATGAACAAACACACACTTCATACTTACTCTTCTCACATGATCTCACATCATATCACACACACACACACACACACACACCTCTGAGTCTGAGGCTGGACAGTTGGTGTGACGTTCAGGGAACATGTGGAATTTTCACAAACACATTATTGTCTCTGTCCTCTTTGATTCTTCCTCACCCCCTCCCTCACCCCCCTCACCCTCACCCTCAGGCTCTCTCTCTCTCTCTCTCTCTCTCTCAGTCCTCACGCCAGCAGGGCTCAGACTGGAGGAATGTGGTTTCCTCCAGTCTACAGCAGCTCAACACTGCCCCCGCGAGAAGAAAGTGAGGATTGCGTGTCAAAGAAGGAGGCGCCACCTGCTGGTCAGAGCTGGAGCTGGATTCAAAAATGGCAAGTTTTTTCCTCATACTCAGAGCATGATGACAGTCTTTGATAATAAAATAAGATGCCCCCCCCCCACCCCCTCTCCCCCCCCACCCGCTCCGGGGGGGGGGAGAAAAGGGGTCGATGTGG